CCAAAATACCATATGATTTGTGTATTTTTATTCATATTTGGAATTTTACGACGAAGGACAGAATGATCTCATGCATGCACTGCTGTTACCTGTGCGCGCACATTGGCAAGGTCCCGGTTGGCACGGCGGCCACTGTTCGACTTGATCAAAGAATTGACCACGGCGACACCGGTTGCAGCCTTCGTTTCGCATGCTCGCCGCCAGATCTTCGACAAGGTCATCTTGGTGACCCCGAACTCATCACACAGAGGCTTGAGCCCTCCTTGCTTGATGCGGCCGTTCGACTTGAGCAACGAGAGCCGCACATAGACTTCCGTCCGCTGCGCGTCCGTCAGTCGTGGCTTGGTCGTCATCGAAGACGTTGCGTAACTTCGTCAAAACAAACTTTGTGACTCGCGTTAGGAACCATTAGGATACCACAACGGACATGCGAGGATTCAATGCACATTGACTATACGGCATAACGTACATCCATGTCATTGAATGAACCCTGTATCACACGAGGTTCGAGCGGGAGCTCTACGGCGTGAACTATAATTTTTTAAATTTTTAAAAATTCTTAGTTTTTGTGATGTTATTGTAGTACAGTCATCTTGGCAAAAACTCGACAAAGTGGTACTCCACGTTATATGGAAACTTGTATGCACAGGGTTGCAGTAAATTTAGAAATATTTTTGCACTTGAAGTTGTGAAAGAATGCCTGGTACTTCTGTAGCTGTTTTGATTCGCCCAAAAATGACTAAATATATTCAAAATAACCGCTTGCCCAGCCGCCCATCGTCATCCACGAAGTCACGTATACTAGTACCATGGGCGACACGAATTGGTACGCGCAAGCGCCGTCATCGTTCGCCTCACTCAATGCGATGCAGGCGTGGCAAAGGGACCCTTCAAAGAACCACCCTGTACGGCGAAGAAAGGCAATGATGGCGGAGAATTAAACGACGACGATGGCGACGGCGCGCGTCCGTCGCAACCTTGGAAAGCTCACATGAGGTTCAACTTCTCCCGGACTGCTTGCAAACTCGATCGTAGTAACGACCGACGTGGTGCTGGTGTACGCTGTAGGCGAACAGCGGCGCGCCTTCGAGCATCCATCGGACATACCCCGACTCGCCCAGCACCCTACAGCATCCTCATCCCGTCAGCAAAGGCCATGCTTGCTCACCAGTCGGCCAGAGCACTCGACTTGGTAAAGGTAAAACTCTGTGTTTGCGTCGTGGCCGCTGTCCCAGTTGGCCGAGATTGCATCCATTTGTTATTGGAACGTAGGTATTTGGTTGGTGTCGGCGAAGTCGTCCTTCCGCGGCGTCTCGTACCTTGAGGTTCCTTGCATCCGAGTCGCACAAAAACGCTCCAATGTACCCGTTCGCGACGGGAAAGCACGTCCCATTGTAGTTGATGCCGCAGTGGAGATGTCCCTTGCCGTCGATGAGTCCCAAATCTGCATTCGCGTCGCGACCGGGACGTCGGGGAAGTAGGCGCCGGGATATCGCACGCCTTGCCTTACACACAGTACTGGCTGTCTGGGGTTGATAAGCTTGTCACCTCTCGTGTACTGTACACGTTGGGCGAGTTGTACAGCCCGATGGCAGCATTGACGCCATCCGCTATGTTCAGTGCCGTCCACAGGTGGTCCTTTCCCGCTTCGAACGTTCACCCTTCGATCTCGATCTCGTCGCTCATGACGAGATCCCACACTTCTCCCCGCGGTGACACTTTTGTCGGGACGCCCAGTGGGGTATCGACATCAATCCAGGCAGCAACGCCACTCCGGGACAGGTACCCTTCGTATTCGCAGTCGTAGTCGAGTGCATGCGCCGTGGCGTGGAGAAGTGCTAACGCAGTGATGGCTCGGACTTGCAAGCTCTTCCGGTTCATGTAGTTTGAGGCGGAGCTTTGGGCTTGTGATCGCTGCTGGCAAGGTCGGCGGCCACGGACGCATGCGTTCAATCCACTCCGGAAAACTCATGAATGTGACATGTTGACGTCGGAGGCATTCACATGAACGATTTCAGCCAATCCATGCGCATGACCTCACTTTGACGACTTTTGATCATCAGCTTTATGCGAGTGTCGATGCTATATCGCCGCTGGACGCGCTACGGGAGGACCGGTGTTGATATGGAAGTTCAAACTGCGAGGGGTTTTCGAATCGACCAATCACATTGCGTTAAAATTCAAGGGGTATTTATCCAATCACTGCGTGAAATTTAATTGTGACTATATTTCGCCGAAACGGCATTGCCCATCAGATGCTCAATTTTATTCGAGTACCACTCTGTCGAGTTTTTATCAAGTTGACTGTATTGAAATTGAATGTTCCAGAGTAGGACGGTTGGCATGACATGTTAGATTCTATTGAATTTTTATTGCGACATACAGAGAACTACATGTGAACTGGCGCACAGTGGTACCTGATATTTTTTTTAATTCCAAAGCGTCCTAAAATCAAACATATTTAACCAATCAGAGCACACCTGATCTAAGCTGTGTGATTGGCCAAATCAAATTTCAAATTCGTGAATTTGATTGGTTCATTCAAATTTCACCTTGTCAACTTTGGTCCGCCTGATCATTGACATGTCACCGCCCCGACCTGCAGCACGCCGCCATCAGTGTCGCTACACAGTGCGTCAAATCCGCGTCTTACTTCAGACGCATGCCCTCCTTGTCCGTGTACCAGTGACAGACATTTCGCCTGAACCTCCTGGTCCGTGTACCAGTGACAGACATTTCGCCTGAACGTATAATATTCCGGAGGCATCATTTCGAAGATGGAAGGGGAATGCTGCGATGTATCTCGAATCGAAATCGGAAAACGGCAGTCGGGCGACACTGCAAGGTAAAGGTGGAACTGTAAGTCATGATTTCTCCGATGACTTGGTGTCCTTCATGGATTCAGTCCGTGATGGTGAGCACTTTCTTACAACGGCTCACTTGGTCACATGGCTCAAGTCATACAAACCAGAGTGGTTGGCAGCGTACATGGCATCCAAGAACGACGACGACCAAGCATACAAGAGCCTACTAGTCCAATGGTGCTTGCGTTTTGCGAATCGACACAGCTACCACCACAGAGTGCCGTGTCCTGCGAAGCAAGCCCAGACCGAACTTTTGGCAACTCAAGAGACGTTTTCAGATGACTTCAACACCAAGTTTGGGCACCTCCCACGACATGCCTGGTTCAACGTCGACGAGACGCCAGTATATTACGTACTCTCGCAAAGATTGGCGGCTCATCACGTGTCAAGGAGTCGCAAAAGCATTCCGCTCGAATTACGGCCGTATTAACCATTCGGGAAGACGCTATGTGATCTGATTGATGCGAGAAAATAACTCAATGAATAGGTACATAGCTGCCTTTGTTGATTATCGTGAAAGGACATCCTGGTGGCGACATTGAGAAGACTGAGCTTCCGACATACCCTGAAGGCCCGGTTTACGCTGTGCAGAAGAACGCCTATATGAACCAACGCATTTGGTCCCTGTACCTACGCGAAGTCCTCAAGCCCGATATTGATTGCCCCTCGGTCGTGTTGGCGGACAACCTCAAGTGCCATGTCTCGTCGAAGAGCTACAAGATCATGGAAGACGAATTGTTTTGTGGCTTGTACGTACCTGCATCCTCTTCCTGCGAACACGACGAGCAGCCACTCGATGTTGGTGTCATGGGTCCATTCAAGAAGATGTGCTGCACTGAGTGGATCAAGGAAGAGAAGGTGGTGACGGCGGCGGAGAAGCGTCTGGCCATGATCAAGAGGTCCATCAAGGTTTGGAATGACATTAAGCAAGAAACTGTTCGAAAATCGTTTCAAAAAGCATTAAATATTTTTGAAATTTGAGCGAAATTGTGAAAAAAATCCAATGTTTACATAAAATTTCAATGAATCATATAGATGCATAAAAAGTCGCACTGCCAGAGGCCCCGTGCCTCGACCTTCACCCCTCACACGTAAAGTGCTACCAAAGCATGGTCACTCAGCGTTTCGCTGCTTACCCACTGCGCCATTCCTAAGAACGGAGGTATCCTCAGTCTGAAATA